ACTCAAAAGCACAGAACTAACAAATTCTTCCAATTTTAATCAAACATAATTATTTAAAGACAACTATAATAATCGAATCAATACCCCCGCCGCAGCAAACCTGCAGACTAAGCGAATTTCAACTTATCTGATTACATTTTTACTAAAATCTTTCCATAAATAAGACATATTTATTCCTGATTATTTACATAACATTAGATTTTACGAGTGCTTAAGTTTGCTGCAACAGGGAGGGTAAAAAAGTGGTTTATGTTGTAAAATGTTAATTCAGTAGTATAGTAAAAAATTAATGTTTTTTTCCAAATTTGATCAAAATATGTTCATAAACAAGCAAACTACAACAGTTGACTTATTCCCCATAAGAATAACATGGGGATTTTAAATTGTTTTTTTTTTTATTTCTCCGTAACCATTAGGCGCATAACGCTTCAATATACTAAATCATTTGTTTTCTTTTATAAGCTCTACAATAGTATATTACGTTACTAGTCCTGAAAATAAGTGTTTACCGGACGAGTGTGGTCGTTCCCGTGCGAGACGAAGTCGAGTACGGGATTACCATACGAGTCCGGTACACACATTTTGGACGAGTGACGTACGATAGTTTACGCCATACTACTAAATCTGTACAAAGCCTTATATATTTCCACCAACTAAAGGACTAAAAATCACTAGTCATTGAGAGGTTATGTTTTTGTTAATAACCACTCATTGCCACCTAAATACTAAATGCAGTACAATCAGCTGATTGGTGTCCGGTAAAACTCATTGCAGCACAGTAGTACGCAATGAAACCCCATTTGAATAAGCTGGTGGCAAACAGCTGTTTTCTGGACTAAATACTTGTGTGGGAAGTTCGTCAAAATAATGTAGTGTGGCGTAATAGTATATTACGTTACTAGTCCTGAAAATAAGTGTTTACCGGACGAGTGTGGTCGTTCCCGTGCGAGACGAAGTCGAGTACGGGATAACCATACGAGTCCGGTACACACATTTTGGACGAGTTACGTACGATAGTTTACGGCATACTACTAAATCCGTACAAATCCTTATATATTTCCACCAACTTAAGGACTAATAAACACTAGTCATAACCTCTGAGAGAGGTTATGTTTTTGTTTATAACCACTAATTGCCACGAAAATACAGTATAATCAGCTGATTGGTGTCCGGTAAAACTCATTGCAGAACAGTATTACGCAATGAAACCCCATTTGAATAAGCTGGCGGCAAACAGCTGTTTTCTGGACTAAATCCTTGCGTGGAAAGTTCATCAAAATAATGTACTGTGGCGTAAAATTATTTTACGCCACACTACATTATTTTTACGAACTTCCCAAGCAAGGTTTTAGTCCAGAAAACAGCTGTTTGCCGCCAGCTTATTCAAATGGGGTTTCATTGCGTACTACTGTGCTGCAATGAGTTTTACCGGACACCAATCAGCTGATTGTACTGCATTTAGTATTTAGGTGGCAATGAGTGGTTATTAACAAAAACATAACCTCTCAATGACTAGTGATTTTTAGTCCTTTAGTTGGTGGAAATATATAAGGCTTTGTACAGATTTAGTAGTATGGCGTAAACTATCGTACGTCACTCGTCCAAAATGTGTGTACCGGACTCGTATGGTAATCCCGTACTCGACTTCGTCTCGCACGGGAACGACCACACTCGTCCGGTAAACACTTATTTTCAGGACTAGTAACGTAATATACTATTACGCCACACTACATTATTTTTACGAACTTCCCAAGCAAGGTTTTAGTCCAGAAAACAGCTGTTTGCCGCCAGCTTATTCAAATGGGGTTTCATTGCGTAATACTGTTCTGCAATGAGTTTTACCGGACACCAATCAGCTGATTATACTGTATTTGCATGGCAATGATTGGTTATAAACAAAAACATAAAGTGATTTTTAGTCCTTATTTGGTGGAAATATATAAGGATTTGTACGGATTAAGTAGTATGGCGTAAACTGTCGTACGTAACTCGTCCAAAATGTGTTTACCGGAATCGTATGGTAATCCCGTACTCGACTTCGTCTCGCACGGGAACGACCTCACTCGTCCGGTAAACACTCATTTTCAGGACTAGTAACGTACTATTACTAAACTAATTCTATTTAAATATGGCATAAATATGATATTTTTAAGGCAAATTGAAATTCGCTCAGTCTGCAGGTTTTATGTGGCGGGTGTATTTAAATGAAAATATTATTCTGTTCTGGGTGTCCCTGAACCCCAAAAAGTGGGTTTCAAAAGTGATGCGTTGATTTGTACAGAGGTACGGACTACGGACTATACCGGTGGTTTTAATTTAAGTTAGCATGTGGGTCCTAATATACAGTATATTCAGGATTTTTCATTGATTTGGAATTTTGATTTTGAATGGGATCTGTTTCAATAAAAACCGATATAGTCCGATCATGCTGGTTCGCAAATAATTGTAGGTTTACACGTTAATTCCATTTTTAATAAAACCCGGATCAGTTTTGCTTGAGTTGTCGTGCTAAAGGACACATAATGCATTTGAACGCGTGGTGTTCTTGGCCTCTGGGGACCTCAAAACGTAAAAGTAAATCGGCCCCGGGTCCAGGTCTTACCATGAGACCTACGGTAAAAGCTTATTTCCAATGTGGGAAATAAGCTAAAACAGTACAGTCCCTAGCACTGTACGAATTATGGTTCAAAAGCCATTTCTACTTATATGATGTTCCCAAACCCATATAAAATAACGGAACAATCCGATTCAAACAAACAAAAAAACTGGTTCAACCAATACTGATACCTATTTACTATGTTATGATCCTTGTAAATTTTGACAAAATTGTACTACCCCTCAATACTGTGTAAATTACGGATCAAAAGCTGTTAAACGTTTATTGTTTTCACATGAAATACCATATTTACTCCCAGCGCTTGTTTATGATAAGGGTTGTTGACAAGCTAGTGGGAGAATGCATGTGTTAGATTTCTGTTGACGTTTATTTTTACTTTTTCCTACAGTCACCCGACAAAGTTAGCTTCCTTGTACTGTTTATAGTACAGAAAGCTGCTAATTGCTGCATATTTATACTTCGTCGTACGGTTTATACTTTGTCGTACGGTTTATACCTTGGCGCACATCAGGATTCCAACGAAACAACACAAAAGAGCGTGGTTCTATTATGCACGTAATCCATGTACGCTTGGAAATAGGTTGGCAACACTTAAGGTGACAACACTCATTGCTTGCCGAGGAAAAAATAGCGGATTGATACGGACCGGTAACTATTTCCTCTGGGGCATTTGTGTTGCAAGCTGAAGCTAAAAACGTGCTGTATAGTGTTTGAAAGACTAATTATTTATATGCTTTATAGTGACTGTAGGAAAAATATAATGTGTAACACGAGTGTAAAAGGCCTTTGCCCACTAGTTACACAAATAACTATTTCTCCTTTACCAGCTGGGATATGTTTTTATTGTTGGGTTTGATTAACAGTATTTGCCACCCGTTCTTCACGGAAACAAAACATATCAAACACTAACCGAATAAAAGCTGCAATTTAGTAATCATTTCAGGTCTCACTTTCATTATACTTCATCACAATCAATAAAAGTTTGTGTAAAAGTTGTATAACTAACGATATTGAATTACGGTGAATATTTGTATTTGAGACTAACGAATTTATGTATTAATATTAAATTAAAATCCATTAAGATACAATTAGTGACAATGTACTAATGTTTGCATTAAATAATTCTGGTAGCCAAATTCCGTAGACCAACTAATGTTTTTAAGAAAACAGTTTATCTTTATACAAACAAACTAAATAGCAATTATCACTTATTAAAAAAAAAAAAAAAACAACAACGGTGTTAAAAGTGCGTTCAGAAAGTTGTCTTCAAACCTTCGTTCACAGAATTCCCATTTACATTATCAGGTATGTACACATTTGTTGTACATTTGTATTGTGAACACGTGTTTACAAGATAAAAGCATAGAATCTAAAAACCAGAACTGCGAGTTTCTATAAACTGTCGAATTTTTGTTTATGGCAGATGAACGACTCGTCAAACTTCCAACAAGTCAAAAATTATTATGATGATACTCGTATTACTAATAATGATCAATAATGTTATCAATCGTGAGTAAGAACTCATGGATTGCTTTATTGTGATGAGTTTTTATTTTAATTTAGTTAGCAATTGGGTTATTTAGCTATGGGGCAACCAGACACCAGGCAAATTTGTGGCAAAATGATTAATGAAGATAACATTAATACAGCTAGTTCTACTCATTAAACTTAAATTAAATGGCTGTGGTTGAAGAATCAACCAATCTTAGTTGATAAGAAGGCTATCATTTCAATCAATGAACTCCCATCCTTTACTTATCATTGTTTGAAATACACACCTCATGTATAGACTATATATCTAGACTCTATGTGTTGCATTATGTATTTATCTGTCACTCAGACATTAAAAGACTGGGTAACTAAAATAACTTTCTTGTTGTAGGCCATTTCCGTCCTTAATTCTGCAGGTTTATGGATGAATTATGTGCCTGTTAGTTGTATTGTAGAAAATTGTGTTACAATTAAGCCAACAGACAAACATAGTAGTTTGAAACACCCAAATAAACGTTTAATATAGCTAATATGATGATGTAAAGATATCTAACTAACATGGGAGTAGTGTCAAGTGTTAGTGTGAGGGTTATATCCACTCTCACACACAAGTGTAAGGTAACTGGTGACTCCCTTAACTTACATCCTCTGTATCATTGTGCTTTTACAGCAGAACAATCCTTAAGTCCCTTAGTAGATCGTACCTGTGTAGTAGGACTGAATGGGTTAGTTACAGCATTGGTGGGCAAACAACAACACGATACTAATAACTTCGGTACTTCGTCTCAAAGGGATCCCAATTGCACGAAAACAAAACATTCCGAAAGGCTTTTGACAGAAACCCACACACTACTTTCACACAGACTACGATCATAGGGAGCGTGGTAGCTACCTCAGCCCGTTGAATAGCTGTTTGGACTTCTCCAGCAAGTGACAAAATTCTATGACGATTTTCCTGTCGTGATCATCCATTCCTGCCATTCTGACCACCATCGCTGAGCGGCATCTGGACGGGGTCGGGTTGCCTCCTGAGTGGTCGGCGTTAGAGGGCACAGGAGAGACGACGTCGGTGATCTCTGGGACCCCCAGGACGATGCATTACCAATAACACTCTCACAAGATATGATTATCATACACGACACCACCTTACACAAACCGCGGATTCCACACACGACTGCTCGACTAAGGGTGTACAAAAAGTGCTGGGGAGGTAGTTATTGATTGGCATTTTGAATGGGCTAAGTAAAGCAGACGACACGAGGGTGGTTAGTGACGTGGCCGTCGTGGCGCCACCAGTCGGGGGTGGCACAGCGAGGTCTGCCGGGGGCGGTGGCAACTAGGAGAGGGTGTTGCATCGGCCCGCCGCTAGAGTGGCGGGAATCTGTCACACACTTAAATTGTGTAAAATTTTAGTTATAAAAGAAGTATTATCTTGTTCCCTTTGTAAAAATGTCTATACGCTTCATGCGACCAGTTAATCTGTTAACTTGCTTAAGCAATTCCTAAACCTAACATTTTTTTAAATTTATTTCTCCCTACGCAGTAAATAAAACATGTGATTGGAATTTCTTCCATTTGCTTTGATATTCTGTTTATATTTTGTTGTTATTTCGTGACGAACATAGCAACCCATAAGAACCATGTTAATCTTTTTAGATTTTAAATCAGTTTTTGTGCTTATTTTGAGCCTATTTTAATTTATAAAGGGATTCTTCACATTTATAGGAAAATATCTTTCATTTGGTACCAACCGCATGCAATTCGGTCCAGTAGTTTGGCCAAGCTAGCTGTCTTAAATTTTGAAAAGGTTTTTTATTATATAAGATGATAGTTATAATGATATATGCAATCATGTTGTATCCTATGCATGAGTAACCGATGTATGGTTTCTTTTTATTCAGCCTTGCAAGTGTAGTGTCTTAAAAAGAAAAATCGCCATGCATCTCGAAAAACTTATTAGTGCAATAACAAGTTTTATATTTTTACAAATTACTTGACATTTTTAGATTTTAATATTTGCATTTAGTTAAAATTTTACGTTGGTTTGGGTTATCATCTCCTTGCTAATCCTAGTCATATACGTATTTGGGATTGATTGCAACAAAATTAAACTCGAGTTATTCAGTTGTATTCATTATAATTTAAGGACAACATGTATAAGTACACTTTCTCAATGTTTGTCTACCTCTTTCAGCTCGTTCACTTTTCCAGATATGATGCCATCCAAGTACGTCCGAGCTCCCGTGGCAGTCAAGACTGCCTGGCCGAGAGGAGTTTTAAAAAACAATAAGGCCCCTCGAGTTGATGGAAGGGCTAGGGCTCCAGCTTGAATGAGCACTTGACCTTCTTTACTATTTAAAAATTTTATCAGGTTTTCGACAGTAATGGTTTCAGAAACTGCTCCAACTACTTTCTCGCCTGTGTCTTTTATACCTGAAGCTAGTTTCTCGCCTTGTTCTTTTATATCTGAAGCTAGTTTCTCGCCTGTATCTTTTACATCTGAAGCTAGTTTCTCGCCTTGATCTTTTATATCTGAAGCCAATTTCTCTCCTCTATCCTTAAGACTGGACGCGGTTGCACTTCCTATGTCCACGGCACTAGAGAGAGACGAAACGCATTTTCCAATCGTACATCCAGCATTATCCAACGCATTAACCAAAGCCTTTTTTAGAGCAGGATTTTTATCCAATTCGGCTAGCAATGCTCCATCTTTGACGTTGGGAAACTTGTCTAAAGCAGCTTTAGAGAATGTTGTAGCGGCATTCTTCAAACTGTTAAATCCCCATCCTGCACCGTGGGAACAATGGATCATCAACACGAACAGTGCCACCCGAACCTGAAAAAATATAGGGGGAGTCCATCAGAGTAAGAACCGTTATAACTTATACATGATATTAAAAACAGCCAACATTAACATTTAAGTACATTTATTAACTTACAAGACCTTGACCTGGGACTGATTTACTTTACTTTCCCCCCTATACCATAGTATAGCATAATGGGGATTATTGTTTTCGTCAACATTTTTGATTTTGAGTTTTGAGTGGATATATCAGTTTTGGGTGCCCCTTAACCTTTTAATTTTTTTTTAATGGTGATTTTTCCCATGAAAATCATAAATTATTGGAAAATTGGATTTAAAAACTAGGTGTGAAATGCAGTTGTCTGCTTACAATATTGAGTGGAGCTAGCATATAAAATAACATAATTTACAATTAATTACTTTTGAACTGTCATTTTGACAGAAAATGGAGTTCTACCATTTTGTTCAGAATTTTAAGGGCTACAACATACTAAATCTTTTAGTATGTAGCTATGTGCACATTCCACACATACATATACACACACACACACACTCACACACACCCCCCCCCCCACACACACACAGACATAACTTCGAAAACCACTTTTTTGGTCCAGGGGGGGGGGGGGGGGTAAAATAGATATATCCACTCAAACTTGAACATATTGGCGAAAACAATACTTTCTCCATATACTATGGTAGGTATAGGGGGAGAAAGTAAATATATTCCAATTTTAACTACTTCTCGTTTATGGAGCATAGCCTTATTGTCAATTCCTACACACATTTCATTAATGTAAATATGCCATCAACAAATGACATTGTTGTTCGTAAATTAATTGTCTGGGTAGCAGAGTGGTTTGACCATCGGTTTGACCTAATAATTGATTTAAAATAGTGGTATTTAAGTAAAAGTGAATAGGTACACTTAAATAGAGCGTATATTTTATATTATACGGGTATATTCCTAATACAATATTTTATTTCGTCCAAAGGAGCTAAATATGCCTACAATTTCACCACCTTAGTCTACATTACAAATGGGTGAGGTTCATTTGTCCAAGTAGGTTAAAAATTACAAAATCTTATAGAAATCAGTTGTCAGAGTTTCATTTGTCCGAGGTTTGATAAATAACTAATAATATTTAGATAAATGCACTGTCCGAGTTTATTAAACTACTTTAAACTATATTAAAATATCAGTTTTTTTCATTTGTCCGAGGATGGTTTAAATAATAATAATATTTGGTTAAATCAACTGTCCGAGCATTCATTTGTCCGAGGTTTTAATTATAAAAAAAATCGAAATATCAAGTGTCGGAGTTTTCAACTGTCCGAGTAGCGTCAACATCAAAAGTGACAGCGCGCCGAGAATAGCATCCCAGGCGCCTGGTCAGAAGCTGATGTAACCTCTTCTACGAAGGAGTGAGGGATTGTGGGAGAGCATTAAACTTCATTAAACTGCGATCCACACAAAATGGAATACGCCTATAAACGGTATCAGAAATCCGACAAATGCTTTTCCCTTTCATAGTCATAAAATAAAGTCCTAGTAACTCAGAATTAATTCTGGACACGGTGATTTCTATAGTCATATGACTCATAAGAGGCCAATTAGTCTAAAGAGATATTTATAACAATATTTGAAATAAGCAACACATCTATAATCGGAAGTAGCCCTATCCTTAAGATACATTTAATAACTAAATAGCAGCTATAAGCAAGAAATTGTTATACATTTTTCTTCCTAATCCTAATTTTTAATTTAATATTTTCTTTCTTTATTTATTTAGAAACAAATCAAAAAGTCTGGACTCAAACTACGACGGGTTACTTAACTAGTTACCATAAATGTCTCGTGTTCGTGTTTGTGTCGTTCTTAAATGTATATTTATTTTCTTGTTAACAATGTGACGCTCTTCGTATGAAGAAAGAAATCAGTCCTTGTACAAGGTATCCAGATCAAATCCCTCCGTGACGTTAACTTTTTGTCAAATATTTTACTTAGAACTCCATTACTTCTTAAGAGTAAATCTTTTGTTAGAATTTGAGGCATTTATAATTTTTTGTTTTATAAACAGGACTATTTTTTTTTTTATTAGTAAACCTTCATTCGATTTTTACCTTATATCTTTTTTATACTATCAGCAGGTTTGGTTGGTTGTGATAGGTGATTACAGTTTAGTTTTAATAACAAAATTGTAAAAGGCTTATGATAAAAAAAATTTTATAATATAAAAAATAATAAAATTAATGTTATATTTGTTCTTAAGTCGACGTGAGGGGCTCTCGCACAATGCCCGACTTCTACGGAATAGGTTTACATCGGCTTCTGACCAGGCGCCTGAGTAACTACTATTTGATGTTGACGTACTCGGACATTTGATATTTCGATATTTTTTATACTTTAAAACCTCGGACAGTTTTTTTACTAAATATTATTACTATTCAAACCATCCTCGGACAAATGAAAACTCTCGGACAGTTGATCTATCTAAATATTATTACCTAGTTATATAAACCTCGGACAAAATAAAACTAGGACAACTGATTTCTCTAATATTTTGTAATTTTTAACAAACTCGGACAACTGAAAACTGGGACAAATAATGTGATCCCATCAAATGTTTATCAAAATAAGTGGTACAATTGTATTTGTAGTGATGTGAAACCATTTGAAACGGCATGTTGAAGGCTAACTTGTTACTAAGTTACAAAAAATATATATAAATTTAACATATCCGTACACTTTCTGAGTTACAGCAAACACATACTTACAATCGAATAGCCTTTCATGTTGATAAAGGGTTGAAAAGAAAGCTTCACAAAATAAAATGAAACATGTAGAGCTCGGTCTGTGGTGAAATGCGTCAGTTTCACTACAACAGCTGTCATTTAATTGATCGGTAATGACTATGAAACTTTGATCACATAAATCATCATTACTTATTGGCAGGTTTACGTAGGTTGGTTACTGCGTGGATAGTTTTTTCTAACTGTTTTATAACTGAACTTTGGCTTACCAGTGCTTGGAAATTATGGATATAAAATATTCAGTGTGCACATTTTACAAAGGAGTCAAAATAGTAGGGATGGCTAAAAAATTACGACCGTATTTCCAGTGAGATCTTGGACAGACTTATATTGTAAATATTATAAAGTTGGAGTTCAAATAACAGTTGTTAAAGACAATTGTAATTGGGCTTTCACCATTTACTATATAAACACTAGTATTTATTTAGTCAATGCTTTTAATATAATTAAGTGTGTCTGTGGAATTCAAATCTTTAAATAAAGCCAAAAGTACCCATGAACTTTTGAGAAAAGTACAAGTCACACCCCCGTAAACCATATATTTAAAATGTTCATCATGACGAGAAACCTTGCGCAAAACTATCCATTATTTCATAAATTGCCCTTTAAGGTCGTAATTCCTTTCTAAATGGAACTTTTCATATACCTAATGTTAAAAATACTTCAGCTGCACTTATTTGTTTAAGTTATTCTTTCAATTTATTACCTTACAGGTTAACTTAACCAATCAATAGTTTTATTATTACTTATGATGTCAAACGGGGTGAAGCCCGTGGGTAACAGCATAGATAAAACATACTCCCTTAGATAACAGCTAGTAGATGTATGAACGAAGTGAACGAATCTACGTATTGTGTATAGCGGAGTCGGAGAAACGTTGTTCCGCTTGTCTGTGAGTGAGTGTGTTCGCATCAAAACTCAAGAACCGTTGCACTTATAGCGTTCAAATTTTGCACAAATAATGATGACACCAGTGTGAAGACACCATTAAAATTCTAGATGATTCCGCTCAGTAGTAATTATAAAACCCTAAAAATACATTTTTTAATTTGTCCCATAAGAATAACATTAGAAGCTACCTTCTTCTTTTTTATTTGTTTACGTTTTGCGACCAACAATTTTGTTGTCTACTTTGAGACAGAGAGAACGACTTTTTACTTTAAGCTCTTTCATTCATGGAGTAAACCGTTTGGCGTCTATGAATATATATAGTTATAATTATATCACAACTTTCAGAATAATAAATTGAACTTTACAATATTAGTCGGCAGTTATATACCGTTTATGTTCAGTATTAAAATTAACCTTTACATTAAAAATATATATGTATATATTTAGAGCCAAGCAGCTTTTTACATTATTCAATTTAATGTTGGCACTGAATATTAAATAGTCAAAGATGTTAGTCTATTTTTATACTGAAATGCTATGCGAAGGGAGGGAAACAGGTCCACGACGTATATTTTTAAAATTGGAATGGAAACCTACTTTTCACCACACTATGATATTTTTCGCTGTTTTACATACCGGGTGTCCCACGAAGGGGTTTAAACGTTTGATTTTATATTACGTGCCCATTCATGTACCGAACTTTTTTAAACTTCACACAGTTTACAAAGTAGGTTCTAAAAATATTCTGGAAAAATTTCAACTCCCTAACCTTAGTAGAAACAAAATGGTGGCATATTGAGAAATTTACCAATGTGCTTTCTATAACAACTACTTCATGATTTATTATTAGTTATTTATTTATAATTATTATTTATTAGTTACTTGATTTAGTTTTAGTTTTCCATTAGGCTATGTTCTAGTTTTTTTATATTTTAAAGTCATATTTCCCTGGAAAGTAACAATAAAAATATTTTATAAAACCAAAAATACCTTTTTTTGTTTTTAAAGTAACGTTTTTCAATATGCCACCATTTTGTTTCTGAAATGTTTCCAGAATATGTTTAGAACTAACTTTGTAAACTGTGTAAAGTTTCAAAAAGTTCAGTGCATGAATGGGCGCGTAATATAAAATCAAACGTTTAAACACCTTCGTGGGACACCCTATACATAGGCTACATACATTGGTAGCTGAAAGCTTCGTTTTGCCAACTGTCATCGTCATTTGGGGATCGAGCAGGTTTTTACATCCCTAGGACCGCAAAATCAGCTGCCCGCTTACTTTCTTAAAACATGAATGCATATTAAATACACAATCAGTATCCAAAGCATACCACGGACCGAAATGGTTTTGCAGCTCTCAATCGTTTTAAGATCTCAACTTCGTCTCGAACTTAAAAACTATCTAGAGCCTGCAACTCCTCATTTTCGGCCTTAGGTACGAAATACACTATTTTATTACATCAATACGATACGACAGGGTGAATAAAAAGTCAAGACCAACCCCCCCTCTAATTTTTTTCCAAGTAAATATACAGAGATATCCTTTTGGTGGTCGAGCACTCTTACCAGGAAGTTTCATTTTATCATTTTGAAATTTTTGAGTGTCCCCCCAAAAGGGGGATTTGGGGGGCAGCTCAAATATTTTAAATGTAAACCCCCTTCAAGTGACCCCCTTGTTGTATCTTAGAAAGTGTATGGATATTTTAAATTTATACCTATATTGTAACTTAGTAAACAGTTAGCCTTCTTTTAAGTTAGCATTCTTGATGCGAGTTTCTAAAGGGATCCAAATAAAATCAATTGCTAACCTCTGAGTATTATCGCTAGCCGGTATACCCGTGTTTTGCAACGGGGTGAGAAAGCAGAAGAGAAAATTTGGATTATTGAACATGCCGTTTCAAATGGTTTCCACATAAGACATTTCATTTAGATGCTAAACTCAGTACATTAATTATAATAATTACTTATTTTGAATATATATATATATATATATATATATATATATATATTTTATGTCGACTAAGGTGGTGAAAACGTAGGCCTATTTAGCACCATTGGACGATATAAAAACGATTCTGAATGCTGATGTATACATGAAAATATTGCATTTAGGCTATACCCGTATATAAAAGATACGCTTGATTTAAGTGTACCTATTCACTTTTACTTAAATACCAATTTTTTAAGTTAATTATTAGGTCAAACCTCTCTGCTACCCAGACAATTAATTTACGAACAACAGTGTTATTTGTTGATGGCATATTTACATTAATGAAATTTGTGTAGTAATTGACAATAAGGCTATGTTCCTTTAACAAAAAGTAATTAAATTTCGAATATGTTTTTTTTATTTTTGCTTACAGTAAAATCTATTTAATGAGCTGCAAGTAAAGAGCAGCCTTACTATAATTGAAAAATCTGTATAATCATAAAAACGTTGCAAATGTCCTATCATTGACTATATAACACTTTTTTAGTCAATGGTCCTATTCAACGTCCATTTTAGTTCTTGCAAACCAACCTAAAGTAAAATTGTGATAGCTTTCGTTAACAAAATTAATAAAGTGTGAAATTAAAGCAATCATGCGTACTCACCCGATAAGAGATGAAATCATGACAGCAGGATCAAATGTCACGTTTAAATGTTTGGTCCTGTCAAAAAAAACTTTTTATCTATTTATCTTTGTAACAATTAGCTATATCAACTGGGATGTTACTGCAATGAGATAGAACAGTAGTAGCTTTGTAAAAAGAATTACAATTTTGTTCCTGCGAGAGTAGTTCAAAGCTTTTGGGAGAAATGCAGTTAATTTTTAAAATTAAGACTTTCTCCCTTTGTAGTTCCATATCCAGTTTGTAGTTTCTCCTTCAGTAGTTCCATATTAGCTTAGGTGATTAGGCTGTATAAGAATGGATTCAATCCCTAATCAATCACCAATCACTAACAGAAAAATAATGTAAAAGGTCATGTTAGCCCGTGGTAAAGTCACAACTTCAGCCGGTTCATAATAACACTGAAAATTATGTCGAGCGAAGCCGACGGGCGATAGCTAGTATAATTTAAAAACTTAAAGACAAACAATTTTCTTAACAGACATTTCCTTTCCTCGAGCTTTTACATACATTACATATGCGCCTTGAGAAGCTCAATGGGTGTTGTCAAGGACATGTAAGCTAAAAAATGTTCACCTAATAGTAAATTCTGTCCGGTTTCTGATATAGGGAAAATCAGATGTGAGGTTGGATTTATTTTATGCGCCACTTAATATCACAAATAAAGCGATAATTTATTTATGCCTACACGTTAAAACCAAAATGTTTTAGTTAGACAATCTAAAAATAATCGTAGAAAGTATATTCTTCTAATAATAGCCCATGTATAACAACCAACCAATAATCTCTTGAATCCATTGTTGAAGATCATGTGTGAAATAATTGCAATTTAGGATTGCTTAGGGAAGCAAGTTTAACTTTGTAGTTAACATTTCTTCGGTATTATTTAACGGATACTTACACAGGGAGCTTACAATGACGTAGCAAGTCCATGTGTCTAACGGATCCACGGTCAAGTAACCTGAGACTGGACATTTAATTTCCTCCTCTTCCTCAGTTAGTGGTCACCATAAAATGTTGTCCAAATACCTGATTCAATGTCTGTGCATTTCCCCATGACGCGATATCATTGCGCGAAATATTGTTGCAACTACTTCGGTAAAACCTATTTTGAAAGAAAATTGTTAAACGAATTTTTTTATGGTAAGTGGTTTGAGCCTAAAATCTGCATTTATGAACTAGCTAGAGACTTTAGTCGTGGTTGTTTGTGGTATTCAAATAAACTTACGACCAATTAAGTAAGAGAGAAAAATCATTTATTGAAGAGTTATAATTTGTATACCTTCCTCTAAAACCAATAACAAGAATAATAAGACAACATCACCTGTCGTTGTCGCTACACCAGCCCCCCCCCCTGGGAGAAAAAGAAACTATAAATTTTGAAAGACACCTTTGGTCAGATTATTTGTCTTCCAGATCAAGTTTGATACGGCTTCGCAGTTGGAGTTTGAAAAGGTTTGACAAAGGTTTAAAGTGTCCTCCACTTTAAGTCTAGGTGGCAACAAACGTTTCATAGGCTCAGGAATACGATTCTTGTCTGCGATAATATAGGCTGGCTTGACCCTG